AAAACAGAGTAATAACTATTTTTTATTACTATTTCGCCTATAAAGATGCAAGGGAACAATTTGAAAAATCCGCGACACTCTTAGACCCACAAAACAGAGAAAAATATACTCATTTTCAATATAGTTAACAGTTAATAACATTGCTCAAGATCACAAAATGGAACAAGTTTGATTCTGCAAAACAACTTTAAATACAGGGTGTTCTACAAGCTCTATGACAACAAACTTTGGCAGATGGTAACTGGATTAATTTCAAACATTTTTTCTTAGATGAACATATAGGTCCGATTCGTTTTTGTTTAGAAGTTATACAGGCATTTTAAAAAATATAATTTCGTATTGCAGTCAAAGTAACCTGATAAATACAAATGTTGGCCGCTATAACAGTAATTATTATTTGTTTTTAAAGGTTAAACGTTAGTTAACCTTTATTAACTAAATTAACAATTCTTAAGACTATAAAAATTGTTCAAAATGTCCATTCTCGGCTCGACTGCAAGCCTCGCATCAGTGAATTAAAGATTCCGTCACTGGACGGTTGAAATTTCTCTGTTCAATGCATGCCGTACAAAATTCGGTGATAAATGAAGATTACTTACTGTACACCGAATAATAATTGAAGAGTTGTCAATGACAGCATCTATTATACCTTCTTCATTTTGTACATTCACTTCAGACGTAGGAATGGTTTTTTGGAACGGCGTTACCTTTTTTTTGAAGTCTACAAAATGATGCACTAAAGACTCATTTTGCTCCCCTAAAACGTTGTTTTTATTATATTTTAACTAATATTAACTTATTAATTAACTTTTTAAGGAATTTTAGGTGCGGCTCATTTGTTCTATGATTTTTCAACTAAAAAAAAACGATGAAAAATAACGAAGAAAACCTCTGTGTGGGGTTTTATCTAAAAAATAAGCTCATATTCAAATTTGGTAATCTCAAAAACCCTCCATCTCGAAGAAAATTTGATATGGTGGTGTCGAATTTTTTAGTACCAACTTAGTGACAATGTCTTCAGTATATCCGCCACTAATAGATGTACATACATAACCAAAGATTTTATACAAAATCCTTGAGATTTAAGGGGATAAAGAGCTGTAATCTTGAGCAAGTTAACCATCGAAGCTGCCGCTCGCCGAACTGCGGTTTTGGCGGTTTAAATTTTGTATTCGAAGATGCTGAAATTTATTCAAAGTTGTTTCCATGTGCTAATAAACATGCTTCCAAACGACGGTCAAAATTAGTCTTCATGCGTGCAAATACCCCCGGTATTTGTCGAATTTCATTAGCTGCAGCAAAAATACGCTGTTAAAGATTTACTGTATCGACAATAAAGTGTTCGGTACACATTTTGTATCATACACACCCAAACAAAAAAGTCCAGAGGGTTCAAATCCGGACTTCGTGCTAGCCAACGTACATTTCGTCCTATTCGCCTTTCCGGAAAGTTGGTATGTAAAAATTCACAAACTGCACGGAGAAACTTGGGGAGGGGTACCATCATGCACGATAAACATTTAGGTACGGATTTGTAAAGGGACGTCTTCCAACAAATCCAGTAAGGCGTTTGTTAAAAACTCTAAATAAGCAGTAGGTAACACTATCGGGCCGAGTAATCTGTCATCAAAAACACCACACATTTACTGAAAACCGTTGCTAGAACCGAGATCTCTGTACAACGTGAGGATTTGCTTCTCGCTAATAGCGAATGTTGTGAAAATTTAGTAGTAATAAGTCAACATTTATCCGTAAAAAACAGCCTGCTTGTAAAATCCGGATCTTGTGCTATTTGATGTCGAAACCACTGGCAAAGTTCCGCACGGGGCTGAAAATCATTGTTATTTAATGCCTGAAGCCTGAACCCTTTGTATACGTAGGGGTGTATTAATTATTCCCGTATATTGTGGAAGTCACTTGGAACGTCAGCCAATTAGAGAAGCGCTTTGCGCATGTTCTTAATTTTCTCAAAAACAGAAGCACCTTTAATAAAAGTTGCTCATTTTCGTGCTCTCTATCACCCTTTTAAAGGAACGCACGTATTTCAGAAAGACCATGTATATTCATAGCGTATTAAAAGTTAAAGTATTAGCAATTCTTATTGACGAAAAAAGCTAATAAATTTGAAAAGGTTAAACAGATTAATTGTATCGACGATTTTGACAATCGCGTTGCAAAAATAGTCTATATTTGAATGTTAGATTATTGAAATGCTTCACCTTAAATACAATTGGATGTAACGTACTTTGTTATTTAAATTATAAATTCCACACGTGCATGAATATTGTGGCGAAGATTTGGTTGACAAGGCATCCATTCATCGCATAATTTGGCATATTTTGTTTATTTGTTAGGAGCGTAAAGAAAAGTGCATAATATAATATTAGATTTGGTTGGGTTGATGTGCCACGCTCTAATTTGTTTTACCAAGATGCACGTTGGATACTTGTACAGGGTGTCCTTTTTCAGAAACATACCCAAATTTTTTTCCTGTTAAAAAGCTCTCTTTTTTCTAATAAACTATATTAATTTTCTGTTCGGAAAAATCAAATAATTGACCGAAGGGTAAGAAACAATGTCAATACAGCTAGACCGTTACAGTATTTCGAACAAAATCCACGAAATTCTATACGGCAGGCTAGCCGGGAATCGAATTTGGATAAATCCGCCGTTTAACGAATTTTAAAGACCAATGGGTATTATGACTACCTACAAAATTCACAATTTGGAGTATTTGCTTGAGCGTCACATTGAAAACAAACTTAATTGTATAGCTCAAATTGTAGTAAATGTAGAAACTGTTGATCAGAACCTTTTTCGGCACGTTCTTTGGTCGGACAAAAGTCGGTTTGTCAGTTATGGTTGGCCAAACAGGCGCAACAAACACTACTAACTGATCCATTGAAAATCCCCACATTGTAAATCCGGTCCAAAACCAAGGCCATTTTGGAGTAAATGTATGATGAATTTCCTGAACTTGAATCCACTGAAGGATAAACCTATGGTTTCAGCACGAGGGGGCTCCACCTCACAAGGACAGAATTGTGCACCAATATATTTAGATAACACTTTCCCAGAAAAATGGATTGGGCTTAATGGACCTATTCAGTGGCCCGGAAAGTCACCAGATCTAACACCCCTCAATTTTCTTTTATGGGGGGTTTTAAAAAATAAGGTTTACAAAATACCTTCGTAACATATTAATCATTTGAGTGAAAAAATCACAAATGCTTGTAATGAGTTAAACGGCGAAATGTTAATAAACGCAGCCGACAAAGAAGTCAGGCGAAAATTGGATATGTGTCTTGAAATGAGAGGAGGTCATATAGAGAATAGATTGTATGATTGTAATATATGTAGTACGAAAGCGTTTGCCTCATTTCTCAAGTTTAGTTATTATCATCGCCTTTTGTTTTAACTGTATTAAAGAATTATCGAGATTAACGCTTTTATTTATTCTTAATGACATTTATGCACTTTAAACAACGAACATTCAATTATTTTCCAACGACTACTTGATTCTTCCACCCCTAGTGTGATTTTTTAGGTCGTATTTCTTTTGAGTCTTTACGACGATATTTCTTATAACTTTTAAACGGGAAGTAATATCGAAAAATTTTTCTAATAAAAGTTTATCGAAAAAAAGAGAGCTTTTTAACAGGAAAATTTGGGTATATTTCTGGAAAAAATATAATTGATGTCGTTTCTGGCAAATCCCAAAGGTAATATTTTCGATTGCAAATGGAACTTACCGCCAAATTTTATTTAATTTTTTTGTATCCTCACAGTAGGCCCATACTATCGAGTTTGGGAGACCCTGTACTTTATTTTAATAAAAGTCGATATCACCTTTAAATATTTTTTGTAAAGGCTTTTCAGAGAAATCTTTGGAAAGATCGGTGAAAAATTGGTAATTTGATTATACAAGCACAAAAAAGAGTTGCAATTATTTGAAACACTTTCGATTCACGCTTATGATTTAAAACTTATAGTGTTTTCTATTATATTGCTCTCAGAGTGCTCTGAGTGCAATATGTGACGTTATAAGTTCTGTTACGGAGCATTCCTAATCCGAGCAGGAGCAATCCTTTTCAGAGCAAAATGAAACATACATTGGAAAAGTAGAGGGAAGATAACCTCGAAATTTCCTTCAGCTAGAGAAGATTTCGTTGTGCGTTGTGTTGTAGTACTTGTCATCAATTGAAATAGAAAAGATAAAATGAGTCAAAGTAGCGACATAACAATTTTAAACGTATGTACTGATTCACACAACCGACGTTTTCTATTCATATCAAATTAAAAGTAAAAAACTAACACAAAACGAAAAAAACAAATCGCCTGTGATGTTTACTCAACTCAGACCTTCAAATTAAATATGGCCGCTTTGTTTACCTTTCCCTTGCTTCGACAAATTTTTCAGATCAATAGAGAGCGCCCTGGGAGCGTTCCGTCACAGATTTCGAGCAAAAATGGAACGCGCACCCTGAGAGCGAGCGCCAAAAGGAACACGCGAATCTGAAACAGAGCACTCTGAGGTTGTTCTGCGAGCAATAACAGAAAACACTATTAGACTATAGTGTTCGACACTATTTGCAATAGTTAATGATACTAGGAGGCTTACCCTAGCCTCCTAGCCTAGCCTAGCCTCACCACAAAACAATGAGCAAATATCCACAAAACACACAACAAGGGTAAATACTACGGATAGTAATTATAAACGCAGTAGGAATGAATTCTGAAATTAGCTTGGTGCAAAAATACTGCTATCCCTACTGGTGTTTTTATGCTCTGATCAAAACGATAAATAGAAGAACACGATCTAACTCATCGATTCTCGGCAGAATATATTGCTTATAATTCTTATAAAACCAGTGACTACAATTTGTTTCATTATGAAATCGCTAATGTATGTCTTAGCAATCCTGAAACTACCCGAACTTTTGTTACACAAATTACGGGTGACTCTCTGTACTTGTTTTTTTTTTTAAGGTATTAGTACAATGAGTGAAATAGATCCAGTCATTGCGAGAGATGAATACTATATTAGAGGAGGACGATCATTCGCATCCCCGTTGCTAGGAGAGGAAATAGTTATTTCAGGCAAGAAGAAGAAGAATTGAACCATAGTTCATTTTTATTTTATTTTATTTTTTAAATATCAAACACATACCTTATAAAGAGATAGTAGTGCCGGCAAATGACTAGGGTGCAATCTAAATTGAACTCGATTTCTGTTCATTTGACATTTAACATTAAACATTTATTAATTAATTATGATTAATGAATAAGAAAGTAAGCATTATTTGTTAATTTACAAGATCTTTGTAAACCTACCTAATTTTGGCATTTTGAAACCCTAGAATTAATTGAGGCTATGTTGATGCATTTGTAACCACAAATTGTGGTTTTGCGATCAAAAATAAAGAAAATATCGAAGATTAGAGACTGTTACAAAAAAGCACTATTGAACTGAATACCTTTTATAAAGGAATAAAGAAATTACCTAAAGAATATGTAGGTATACAAACCTGTTTTTTAAATTTTAAAATCCCATAGAAAAATATATCTATATCTGTCTTGATATATACTATAGATAGGTTAGGTTGGGATAACTAATGTTTTTATGACCAGAAGCCTAAATCGCTCATAGTTTTCAGGTATTTATTATCAATCTTTGTTTTTATATTGCAGTGATAACGGCAAGGTTGTAAACATAATATAAAATTTGTAACCTCAAAGTTTCAGCTCTAGACTCTTTTGAAATTATTATTATATGTATTCAATGTTTTAATCTCCAGGCATGGCAGCTGTTTTCCCAAACTGCAGCGACATCTATGAATTCAAGAAGAAATTGTTCAACAAGGTCAACATGGTGGCGTCCAACAGGAAATGGGACTTTCACTCTGAAATTTCCTCTTGCTCCGGTACTATTTCCGAAATAAATAGATTCGATTGTGGATTTTTTGGTAAGAATTCACACATGAAGTAGTTAAATTAAACATTGGCTTGTTGTTTGTTTTTATATAAAATATAGAAATAAAAAAAATTCTTAACAGTCTTGTGTTTAAGGAATAAATTAGATGTTTCTATATACGGGGTGATCCGTAAATAATGGTCCATATACAGGGTGAGTCAGAAAGAATGGGTCAACACTAAACTGGAGATACTAGACACCAAAATATTATGTCTCATCATGCCTTATACGAATGTCGCTGGTTTAAGAACTACAGGGTGTTCAAGGTTTCAATTTTATTCTGAAATTTCTCAATAACTGAGTAAGTTTTGATAGCATGGTTCTGAAACTTGGTAGTGTTGGGTTTTTTGGTGTGAGAATTACGAATTTTAAGATTATTTTGACGTTGCTCCTAGAGGGCGCTAGTTTCACCATATTATTTAGGTAAATCAGAACATATTTTTTTATCTGTTGAGCTATGCTTTAAAAAAGCTAAAAATCTAAAAGTACGTTAAATTCTACACAAAAAATATACTCTTGTTTAGGTCGCCTAACTTTATCGGTTTCTGAGTTATTTGCATTTAAAAGTTTCAATGTATTTTATGGTAATTTTTTTCAGGCGCTGATATTGCTATTTCTTTTCTAAGTAGCCTTGTGTAAAATTTCAAATTTTCATGTCAGTAAATATTAACGTATTTTACGTGTGTGTGATTTATTATTCGTGCAAAATTATTAGCTAGTGATCAAAAAATGCCATGACATAATTTTTCCAACAGTGCGATGCATGATATGACATGCGGCGGCCTGAAGATATGTGCAATAGATTACCTAATTATAAACTATTCAGAAATCTTTACAATCGCTTAGTCGGATCTGGATCTTTTCCACCAAAAAGTAACCATGGTACTCCAAAATCTATCACAGTCAATGAAGAAGAGAAAATTTTATTATTCGTACTCGTCGGTTAAGTGCGGCAACGAGGGGTAAGCCAATCGTCCATTTGTAGAATTTTGAAAAAAGAAATGCTCCATCCACGTCATTATACTCCGGTTCAGCAGTTATTGCCTCAAGATTTACCAGCTCGGCTACAACTTGCTCAGTTTATACAAAATATGTAAACGGAAAACCCAGATTTCCTCAATAGGATTTTATTTACTGATGAGGCGACATTTACTAGACGAGGAGTTTTCAATTGGAAGAACAATCATTTGTGAGATTCCGCATGCTGTAAAAGAAAGATATGATCAGCATGAGTTCAAGATGAATATTTGGTGTGGTTTAATTTCTGTTTTTTTTTTTTTTCATAGGACCTTTTGAATTGCCACCCAATCTAACTGGACCTCATTATTTAAATTTTCTTCAACATAATTTAAACGAGCTTCTAGATGATGTACCACTCGCTTTAAGAGAGAGTATGTGGTTTATGCACGACGGTGCACCATCACATTTTGCCTTGCCAGTACGCCAGTATTTAAATGAACATTTTCCTCATTGGTGGATTGGCCGTAGGAATGAATTTAGTTGGCCACCAAGAAGTCCAGACTTAAACCCTCTGGACTTCTCGGTATGGTCAAACTTGAAGAATGTGGTGTATCGTGAAGAAATTAATTCTGTTGAGGAGTTGCGGCAGAAAATACAAGTAACCGCGAATGCATTTAGAAAGAATAGAGACATTTTGTTTAATATTCAGAAACATTTAAGAGTGTATAATAAAATGTACTGAGGTAGGTGGTGGACGCTTCCAGCATTTGATTTACGGTTTGTTATTATTACTATTATCAATAATTGTTATTGTTATTTTCATCTTTTGAGAATAAAAAATCACCACAAAATACGTTGAAGCTTTTCAATGCAAATAACTCAGAAACCGATAAAGTTAGGCGACTTAAACAAGAGTACATCTTTTATGTAGAATTGAACGTTCTTTTATATTATTAGCTTTTTAAGCATAGCTCAACAGATAAAAAAAATATGATCTGATTTATCTAAATAATACGGTGAAACTATAGCGCCCTCTAGGAGCATAGTCAAAATAAGCTTCAAATTCATAATTCTCATACCAAAAAAACCAACACTACCAATTTTCAGTCATGTTATCAAAACTTTCTGAATTATTGAATATCAGAATAAAATTTAAACTTTGAACACCCTGTATTTCTTAAACCAGCAACATTCGTATAGTGCATGATGAGCTCAAACATAATATTTTGGTGTCTAGTATCTCCAGTTTACTGTTGACCCTTTCTTTCTGACTCACCCTGTATAAGAACAAGATATTTTATTTCAAAATATTAAGATTTGAACCAACACTCCTTAACAAAGTGTTGGCAAAGTTTAAATATTTTTTGCAATAATTTTAATGTTTTTAAGTACAATAGAAGCAGATGTTTATAAGGAACAGTATTGTTGAAGTCATAGGTATTAACGTCAAGAATTTAAGTTATACAGGGTGTTCTACTTTTGTTTAGAATTTTAAAAAATATAATTTCATATTTTATTCAAAGTAGCTTTGATTTCGGCTCTAGTCTGCCGTAGTTATGAATTTTAAAAATTTTGATATTTGTACAATTTTACGTTTTTAAACCTGTGATGTTTTTAATTATTTGTAATGACGACCTATGTCCGCTGTAGGTGTACCTATTATGTTGGCTAACTTCAATGTAATTCTCGCATATTTTTTCCTGATGAAGAAACAAAATATAGTCTCGAAAGCTTGAAAATTTAAAAGAGTGTAACTTTTTTCCCTTGGTTGCATCCCCGTCTAAGAAAGAAATTTGGTTTTGATATATATATATATATCGTGCTACTTCCTACCTACGCCATTCTGTGACCTGCTACAATTTTCTTTCAAGTAAATATAAGTTTGATTATAATATGCTACATTTGTCCTGAATAATCCCTACATTAATAATAAATTTTAAATATACATACATATATATTTTAAGGAACTGGTAATTTTGAAACAAATATGTTTGCAGTTTATAATGAACTGTAAGAGATATTGTAGCTAAAGTCCGAGATAATAAATTTCAAAACTATATAAATTAAATATATATTTACAAATAATAAAAAAATATTTGACATAGTTTGACGAAAGTATCTACATTTGAATACGTCTATGTTCACCTAGGAGAAAGTGTTTGAAAGTAACCCAGCTCCAATCTGTCACAGTTTGTCATAGAGCTTGTAGAACGCCCCGTATAAAATTGAATAAAAAAAATATCCAATGATATTTAATTACGTGATCTAATGCTGTATTATTTCTTCATCAGGTATCCATGAAAGGCAATCCCACTCCTTGGACGCGATGGCCCGAATTTTCCAGGAAAAAGCCATAGAAGCCATCTTCGATGCCGGGCTCCATCCCACAGAGCTACAAGGTACAAAAACTGGCGTGTACGTTGGCGTCTGTTCCAGTGAGAACGACAAGGCTTGGTACTTCGACAATTTGAATCCCCAAACCTTTGCTGTAACAGGGTAAGTTATGCATTTCCAATTTTCTTTATAATCCTCGAAAGACTTGTGTATAATATACCTACTATATTAGAAAACGTATAAAATAGCCGACCGACCGCCATGTGCAACGCCAAACAACTGAAATGAAAACTGAACGAGCTGGACCTAATACGACTCTGTTCGACTGTATTTCAGATCTGAAAGGTCCATGATAGCACATAGACTCAGTTATTTCTTGAAGTTGAAGGGTCCGTCAACTATTCTGGACACGGCTTGCAGTAGTTCTTGTTACGCGTTGGAGAACGCGTACAGAGCCATCAGACTGGGAGAAATCGACAACGCCATCGTGGCAGGGACGAATCTCTGTTTGTATTCAAATACTACCATGCAATTTTTACGGTAAGTAAAATGTTACGTCTACGTTAGAATCACGCACACCTTCGATGATCAATTACAGATTGGGACTATTAAGCGACGATGGCTTTTGCAAGGCGTTCGACTCTCAAGGAAACGGTTACGCAAGGGCAGAAGGGGTTGCAGTTGTCATCCTTCAAAAAGCGAAGGATGCCAAGAGGATATACACGCAATTGGTTCACGTCAAAACCAACTGTGACGGTTTTAAGGAGCAAGGCATCACTTTTCCATCCGGTGAATCTCAGACTGAACTGTTGATTGATATGTTTGAGGAATGTGAGGTCGACAAGTTTAGTTTGAGTTTTGTAGAAGCCCATGGAACAGGTAAATAGCTAAAAAACATATAAATAGCACCACCTTATAGCATCGCAGGTATTATTGTCAGCCAGTAAGATTGGTCCTTATGCATAAAATCCAGCAAACGTTCTTTTAATCGATCATCTCGAATAACTTTGCAGGATAACCTCCAAAACAAAAGTTGTAAAGGTTAAACTTAGGGTCAACTTTAGTATTTCAAATGGAAATCCCATTTGTTTTATCTAGAAATGGAAAGAGGTGTATATTTGATCTTGGGGCATATTGAGCCCCTGGGGCATCTTAAGGTCGAATCAGCTCAAATGACCCCTAAATTTGGCCCCAGAGCTCAGTCACAATTGGACCATAAATCGTGACCACGGAATTTGCCACAAAAATTAATCAACTTTTGCCATAAATGGCCGCTAAATTTGACTTCTGGGTAAAAACCAAGGTCATTATCGTACAGTCCCCTTAAATCCTTACAACTTTTGTTTTGGAAGTTTTCCAATTCGAGGTCATCCCGCAAAGTTATTCGGGGTGATCGATTAAAATGGGACGCCTTATTTATTAATCTAAAAATAAGCAGCGGGTCAAAGGAATATTAAGTAGTACTTTCTATAATAAACTACTTAAATTTTATATCATCATTTCTACCAATTACGTCAATACCTACAGTAAAGAAAACAACAAAGGAGTGCATAAATGAACAAAATTTTACTGTTTTGCATAATTTCCAGTATTTCCATAAATTAATTTGTATTACTTACCCTTCTACAGTGCATTCATGATGAAAGGAACTTTGTTTCAAATTCAGGTAGGTAATTATTTTGTGGAAAAATGCTCGGACACGTCGATTAGTATTTTTAGTTGCGGATTTTTTGACATAAGAAAATTGTATATTATGTTATTTTTTCGAAGAAAATTTAAATATGGAGAACTCTACTTAGACTTTCTTCAGTTTGAACTCATCCCCGCTTTAGCTGTTGTGTTTCCTAATCCACAAGATCCAGATATTCGTCATAATGACATATGGTTCCAACACGATGGGGCACCTCCCCATTTTGCAATAATTGCAGTTCGACAATTTCTTGACTTAATTTTCCTTAATAAATGAATTGGGCGCAGAGGTCCTATTGAGTGGCCACCAACGTCACAGGATTTAACACCTTTAGATTTCTTCTTATGGGGTTATTTGAAATCTTAAGTTTATGTGAATAGACCAAATAACTTTGATGGCCGGAAACAGAGAATACGCCAGGAATTAAGACTTATTCCACCAGAGGTAATTGAAAACGTTCAACGGGAAACTATCCGTCGACTACAAAAATGTATTGAAATTAACGGACAAAACATTGCACATTTATTATAAAGCAATTATTTCAATAATGTTTTATGTTTAAATATTAATTTCGCCTTTGTTTCGGATATTCGCAGCAAACCCTCAAGAGAAGCTTATATGGCGTAGTTCCCGTCGTGAAATAGAAAAATAATGAGAAATTCGCCGATGTTTCGAAAAATATCATCTCCCCAAGGTCGCTGACGGGTGCAAGAAACGTAAATATTTTTTTTCGCAGGAGGCAAATTCTCCTGAAAATTTTATCATCCAGAACTGTAATAGTAAAAGATTGCCAAGTAATTACTTTTACTTTATTTACTTTACTACAATTTCTACTACCTCTACTACTACTAACTACTTTATTTTACTAGGTTTCATGCACATTCTTTATGAATATCCTCCCAACAACTTTTCTAATAAAGTCGTCATTTAGGCACAAAGGCTGGTGACCCCGAAGAATGTACTGCACTGGACAATGTCCTCACCAGTGGTCGAAAGAACCCGCTCCCAATAGGGTCTGTTAAGTCCAATATCGGACACACGGAGCCAGCGTCTGGTCTATGCTCGATCATAAAGGTAAACCTTGTTTTCTTCTCTAACTATTTTAACTAAAAACGTTTAAAAGTATTGAAAATAGAAAGTGTTATTAAAGAAAAAGAAACCCTGATAGCTGCTTCCTTTACTTCTGCAGATAAGACCGACGATGATCTTGTTATTTTTTGATTTCTATAACCTTCCTAAACTTCGTTCTATTCAACTTCTTTTATTTATCCCCCCCCCCCTCTCTTCTCATATTGCCAACCCTCATCTAAGCGCCAAATTTAAAAATAACACTTCATAAAAATTAATCAATAACTCATAGTGTGTTCTGGCAATGGAAACTGGATACATCCCACCGAATATTCATTTTGACGCACCAGGGGATGCAATGATGGGGTTGGTAGAAGGCAGGCTGAAAGTGGTCACAGAAAAAACTCCCTTAGAGGACAAAGATGCCTTAATGGGTAATACTATTTTTTTTTCTAAAAGCGTTTTACTGAATCTTGGAAAAACTGAACTATTTGCCAATTTCCATGACCTTTAAAGGCCAAACAAGTAACTTAAATTAAATTAAAGATAAGTTTGGTCAAATTGTCTTATTTTTATTATTATCACCCCAAGAATCTGCGATAGGCCCATGTACTAATATTAGGATACTCTTTAAGAATATTTCTTTTAATTTTTAATTTTTTTTCAGGTGTTAACAACTTTGGATTTGGTGGTGCAAATGCTTACGTACTGTTGAAACGGAATTCAAAAACGAAGACTAAACCTAAAGATAATCTGCCTAGACTAGTCTGCGTTAGTGGCAGGACAGTAGAAGCTATTCTTGTATTGTTAGGCCGCATTGAGACTAGCAAAATGGATGTTGAGTACATCGGACTTCTACATGAAGTATTCGCGTAAGTATTATACAGGTTGCTTCATGATGAACTGTGCGAACTATGTACATACTTTGTTCTGAGTGTGGGTGAGATTAACCTACCAAGTATATGTATTATCTTAAATGTCATTGCAACACAATGGCTATTGAATATCAATATCTATGAACCAGCTAAGATGAATCGGCAGAGGATTCACCAGACAGACTGGTTAATACTTATTAACACTGCATTGAAACGAATGAACGAATCCATTAACAATTAGGCCGCCAGCCTGCTGCAAAAAAACTGTATGATTTCTCCAGGTATGCCCTTCAAGGTATCGTTAATTATGCGCATGCTGACCAATGAAAAAGTACATATATATTACATATACAATGGGAAAGACATATTTTTTTTGTAATACATTTTTTCAAATTTTCGCTCCTTAACATTTTGTTTGCAAGAAAAACTACGAATATAATTTTGAAAATTTGAATTTTCAGGGAGGGGCACGCGCCCCCCGGCTAAATCCGCCACTGCCGGTGCATGTTCCACGGTTACCGGCTAATTGTATTTTTTCATTGGTCAGCATGCGCATAATTAATGGTACCTTGAAGGGCATACGTGGAGAAAAATCATACGGTTTTTTTGCAGCGGGCTGACGGGTTGTGATGTATGATCATATCAACATGATGTGAATAAGATGATTGAGATGTACCTAACCTGCGAAGTATTTATATATCATCAAATGTCACTGTTACTCCAATGTATGTTCCAAAGTAAACCATATAGTCCACGGGCCCACGTACAAAGAAAAAAATGATTACCAGCAAGCTGTAACTTTGTGTGCAGCTTAAGTTTGACGAGTCTCCCAAGATTTGACTACGAGGAAAATTCAACAGTGGTAAGTTTTCCCGTGATTTTCAGGAAAACATGTCAATCTGGCATAAACATGGATTGTTATCACCAGCACTTTTTTTTAAGTTTAAATAAAAGATATATATTTTTTAAACCCCCCATAAAATTAGTCCGACAAAAATGTTGGTATTTTGAGTTTGTCTCCCACCCCAAATATGTCGATTTGGTGACATTATGGTTGGTGATAACCAGCAAGCAAATTTTTCTAGTAGGGTTTGGTAATAAGATTTTAAATAAAAGTATCTTATTGTCCGACAAAATTCTTGAGAAGTTTTTGCAGTCCGACATCCCGAAGATGTCGACTTAACGACAACATGGTTGGTGATAACCAGCAATCTGGATTTGATTTTTTTTTCTCTAATAATTGAAATGTATAACACAATAATATACTTGTCCGCCAAAAATATTAGAAATTTTGTCTTAAAAATGGAAAAAATAACTATTTTTGTGGTAGGTACCTAATTCCGCTATAAAATAATTAATTTTTTAATGAAAAAATAAAGAAGAATGAATAAGAAAATATCTTGTTAACAGGAGCAACAGAAATTGAAATTCCTAAATAATTATGTCTAACTAATTTAATTAATCTCCATCAAAATGATTTCTTTGTTCAAAAAACTTGTATGTACATTTTATTTTATAAACTATTGTAACTATTTTATAAAAAATGGTAACTGTACAATGAATGCATAAATTTTTGCTTGTGTTTTTTTAAATTAAAATTTGCAATCTTGTTTTGACAAACAGTTTACACATAGTTTTGTTCTTGAAAAACCAATTAAACCAATTTTAAA